TTTCCCTGCGACCGCCCGATTCGTGGGCCGTGTGTTATTGGAATGGCGACGACAGCCGCCAGGGTGCAGTGGGCTAGATGAACACCTTTTTACAAGTTTAGAAGCTTGGGGTTTGCTATTCACGTAGTAACGATTGGGGCAGTCAAAATGGCGCCAGTGACAATGGCGGTTCCATACTACTCACTGCTGGATGCAGTGCCAATAAGGGTCGTTGGCAGTGGGGAGTTTTTACTACTCACGACTGCTGTGCGATGACAGTGGGGAGTCAAAATGGCACGGGTGACAGTGGGGGATTTTTACTACTTACGACGGCGACAGCGCGTCCCCGCGCTGTTTGCCCGAACGGGACGCTGAAATGCAGATCCCGGGCCATCTTAGCGGCGACCTGACTCGGCATAACTTGGGTGGCGAAGGGCGACGCAAAGGGGCTCCGAGGCCTTGCACATAAATCACACATCAGCCTCCGGGGGCGGCGGCGATATTTCAAAGGGTTGTCCGGCCAAAGCTGGCCACGTTTCGGACGAGCCGCGTGCACAAGCAGCGCCAGCAGCGCGCCGCCGCCGGAGACGCGCATCCGAGGATGAGAAATTGCCCGGGCGGTGGCGGGCCGCAGTCGGACTCGGATGACACGGCACGCGTGCAAGTGGAACGGGACGCGACGCGAAATCCACACCGCAGCGCTGGTTCTGTTTTTCTCCGGTTTTCCACGCCGTGTATGACGTAGAGGTTCAGGACTTTGGGCAAGTCATGGCTCGATTTTCATCTCGCAGGAGAGAAAATTCTTCCCTCGCGGAGGACCAAAAAAGCGCGCACGGCCGAGGGACCCTGATGAAGTGCGGCACTTCGATCCCACCGATATCATTTCGTGATCGAACCGAACGGGAGACCGGTGCCAAGAGGAAAAGAGGGCGGAGGGAAGCCAAAAAAACCGCCCCGTCTGTACTTTTGGGACTGAGTGGGGCAGTGGAGGACGCCGGTCCAGTTCTGAGGTCGGTACAGGATTCCAATTGCGTTCCTCGGCCCTGGACCGCGAAACCGCCACCAACCCACGGCGTGACCCTCCCGCACCCCGCCGTCGTCGGCGGTTCCACCGCTAGGTAGACAGCGGGCTCCGAAGATGTTCGGAATGCACCTCTCCAGCGACGACAGCGCCGCGGGTACGCGACGGCGTGCCTCGGAACTAGTGGGTGGAAGTGCGTGGCTGTGCCGCCAGAGAGCGCTAGCGTCGCACCGACATCCGGCGCGTTCCGGATGCAAGCCAGGGCGGCCCGGACGGCCGGGACGGCGGCGCGCCAGCCGCTGAGGAGCAAATTTCCGGCACCGAATTATGGGGAAGCAGATGATGTCGCTGCCACTACTTCTGATTGAGTTATGTCGGAAAGTGTTGCCAGGCTGGAGGACCGGGGGCCTGGAGGCCGTGAAGGGTGGGAGAGGGGAAAGGGGTTGCGGGCACCAATCCGCCTACGTCGGGGCCACCTTGTTCACGCTTTGTGTCTGCGAATAGTGATCTAAACTGAATATCCGGCGGCAGAAGGAGCTGTGCTTCACAGTGTATACATCTCTCATGCTCCGGTGCTCATGGCCATAAGCAGCCTAGAGCCCTCTGGGCGTGGAGTATTCGCCAACGGCAGTACGGTAGGATCAGAGAAAGTCCCTCACCCCCGTTGCCTGTTCCGCCGTACTTCGACCGCAGTTTGAATTTCTGCGCGGCACAATCCACGCTACACCTCGTCGGAACAAGCGGCTATCTCCAAAGGGAGTGCAGACAAACGGCTATCTGTAAAGGAGCTGCAGACAAACGGCTATCTTTTTGACCCCCTGCAGACAAACGGCTAACTGACTTTTCGGGAGAGGTTAGGGTTGGCCGGGTTCCTTGAGTTTTTCTCAGGTTAGACGCACGTGACAGACTCATGTTGTGTGTCAATCTGCTCTGACAAACTTTTGACATCTGTTGGATAAGGTCAAATTGGACAGGCTCAATTGATTGTAAATATATAAGTATCCAAACTCGGGAAGTGGAGAAAACAGTTAGCCGTTTGTCTGCAGGGGGTCAAAAAGATAGCCGTTTGTCTGCAGCACTTTCACAGATAGCCGTTTGTCTGCACTCCCTTTGGAGATAGCCGTTTGTTCCGAGGAGGTGTCGCACGGCGCACCGCCCTGGTTTGCTGCAAATAACTTTAATGGCCACTTCATGAACTCTGTCGTGCACACATTGCGTAGTGCGTGAACTCCTTGTCCCACAATGAGGGCTTGTTGATGTGGTTCATCTCTCAGGGGGAGGTCCATCTTCCTGAACGACAACTCCCGGATTGTACCCAGCTCGCTTTATTTGCTCGTCCTTTCCATACAGCCCCATTGCAGACGCACACACTTCGTTACCAAGAAAGTGGCTGCCAACTCACACCTTGCACGCAGCCCTGCTGCACATTGCTGCACATCGCATCGGGATGGATAGATAGCGCTGCTCTCTCCTTGCACCTATCTGCACTACGCACTAATTATTGCCTTTAATTGCTTCCCACATGCTGCACCTGCACAATGAGTGCATCTTCTTTTTTTTTCATTTCTATTTTTTCGGGGCCACAGTAGCATGGGCCTCCGCGGAATTCGTACTCTCGTACACCAAAGGCCGTCGTGGCCCATACTCACAGACGCACTCACACACTAGCACCAACACTCACACCTCGTTAGCATCACGGTGCGTTTATGATCTACCCTCTGATACGTGGCTGCAGATTATTTTTTTGGTGTGCTGCTTCGCCAATGAGGAGAAACTTCTTGATGGAACTGGATGGATGGACAGCAGCCACAGGGAGCATCGGTAAACACCCATACCTGGCCCAGACCTATACAACCAATGACTGAAATCACCCGTTCAGTTGCTACAGAACGACATGCACTCGGCAATACTCCGTGCCCAAGAGACCCTCCACAGGACCTGTTCTCAAAGTCACACGCGCGCGGTGTATCGCTGTTTGTTTAATTTTGTAGACAGTGCAGGGCGCGTGGAGTATTGACGGAGCCACGCCACTGCTGGCGGCAATCCTCGCGGGTCAGGGAAATTTATCGTGCGTCGCCGGGGAGGCTCTGGTTCCGAACAGCCATTTCGTCGCTCTGTTTCTCTCGCATCCATGGAGCGTCCCGTAGAGGTGCGAGAGAGACAGAGTGCCGGTTGTGGACTCGGCCCAATACTCCCCGCGGGACGGCGATAAAGACACTGGAGCAGAAAGGAGAACGACTGCTGGCGGCGGCGCGGCAAAAATATGAGACCGATGTAAAGTGCTTTACGTCTTCATCCCAAGCCGTGTTTCTCGGCCGCGGGCGCGGCCCTCGAACAAGGGAAGTAAACTTGGGCACAAAGACACATTCTTTTCTCTCTGACTTACGATTTCTTTCTGGCGCGGTGGCGCGGCTCCCCGCCTCCACCGCGACGTGTCTCATTTGAGCAGCGCCTTCTTTCGGTAGCAGGCTGTTCCTGAAAGTCGTCCGGTTTACGAGGCACGAGTGCAGCCCCGGCGTGCCCGCCGCCAGCCCCAGCCCGGGGCGAGGTTTGTTGCTGTGACGACGTGATGGGGATGGCCAACGACGCACTCCGCCACTCCAGCACCGTGGCGTGAAATTCCTTAACGACCCTCGCCCGCGCTGGGACGTCTCGACGTCTTTCTTTGCCAATTTGGATTTGCCGCAAACTTTTTCTGCCTCGGTTTCTTCCAAGGTAAAAATAATTAATTTGCAAAACATCTGTCACTCAACCTGAGGAAAGACCCTCAAGATGAGCCCGAATTCACTTTGGGAGTTCAAAGTCACGTTCTACCCTGCATTTAATGCCAGTTTAGAACTCTTTTTTTTTGTAATCTCGGGGTGCTGCTCTGATGGCCACAACCTTCACTCACTCACAAACACACAGCCACGCACACACTCTCACATGACGAGTGTTCCCGGAGATGGCCTAGAGCGCACGGACTGCCCATCGGCCCGTCACCCTTGACGGGGCGTCCGAGTGCAGTGCGGTGCAGTGCTGCAGTGCAGTGAGCACCAGCGCGGCGCAGCCATGACGCGCTGCCGGCGGGGATGCGGGGGCTGCGCGAGAGCCCAGTGCAGACCATGCAGGCCGTGCACACCGACGCAGCACCGGTAGCGTCTATGCCTCGATCGCAATCAACTCTACACGCTCTGAAAAGGGAGCGTCTGCCGAAAGAGGGGGGAGGGGGGGCGTTCGCCTTGGTGGAAAAGTCGTCGAAGGTCACCCAAGCTGCCTGCCCGCCCGCGAAACACAATGGAGACCTCTCAAGAGCTGTTTTGAACAGAGAAAGAAACACACATCAAACCATAAAAACGCTGATGAATAGATGACATCTCCATCCTTTTTAGTGACAGGTGACGACAGCTTCGGGGTTGATGAGCTCACCATCATTTTGGAACGAGGTGACACTCTGCGGCCAAGTCTCTGAATGCTGAGCCTGTGGCCGACCCGCCGTCCCCTTGCGCGTGGAGTACGCCATGATAGTGACGACTGCCTAGAGAAGCCCGCTAAAAAGGGGCGTTTGTTCTTTGTTAGTCAGTGTGACTCCAATGGTTCGAGGTCACTGGAGTAACTTCATTCCCTTGTAGGCCAGTCTAGTATCACGAAATTAGAGTATGCATGTGTCAAAATAAGGTGTCAAAATTTGAGTTTGGTTAGATGTCTTGGTCCCAGATTCGAGTCCCGTGGGGGGGGGGGGGGGGGGGTGCTGTGAGCCTGGGCAGCAGTACGGCCGCCCCGCCGCGCCCTGCTCTGCCTGGAACGCCCAGCCCAGTCCGCCCCGCCCCACGCAGCCACCCTTCCCTGGCCGGCCCTGGCCACGGCCGGGCAGCGCGCAGCGGAGCGTTAAACCCCCTGCATCTTGACCACGCCGAGGCGGGCCGCCTCCTCCCCCGCGGCTGGCAGGCTCACCGGAGCGGCCCCACAATAAATACCCTTAGCGATAGCGAGAGCGGCGTAGTACAGTGGTGTGTGCCGGACGCGAGCGGTGTTTCGGGCCGTAGTGTGTGTCAGTGTAGTGCAGTGACCAGTGCGCCAAGTGCATCAGTTCCACCATGGTGTGCGTCCGCGTCCTGGTGGTGCTCGTCGGCGTGCTGGCCCTAGGCGCCGCGGCCGAGGAGGCCAAGCCGGTCAAGCCGGCCGACAGTGGAAGGGACTGGTGGGAGGCGGGCATCATGGTGGTGCAGCGCTCGCTGCAGGAGTGCGAGGCCGCCCGCGACGTGTCCTCGTGCCTCAAGATCAAGGCCGTCCGCGCCGTGGACCGCGCCCTGCACACAGGTCAGGCTCGCGGCGCACCTCGCCACTTGGATTACAGCAAGGATTACGCGGACAGTTCAAATTACAAGCTCAAGTCCTCTTTATCGTGCATTGTTTGCGTTTGCGCTGTTGTGCTTGGTTTCACAAGTGTTTGTTCATTAGTTTTAATGTTGCGGCTTCGTCAATCAAGTTCATTTTAAGGAGTTTTCATTTAAACAATCAGGTTCTTTTTAGCCTTTTACCAAAGCTACGTAGAACCCAGTCATTAATCTCAATCCTAATCAATGCAGGCTTTGAGCAACAACTGGGTCAGCTCACACTGGGTGTGCCATCGGACAGTTGACTCGGCTCAGCGGAGCGGGTTTCTCATATTTTCGTTTTCTGGGACGGTTTTGAGTGCAAAGGGCCGTAATTTCCCCTTGGCCCTGGTCAAGAACGTCGAGGCCCTGCCCACTCATTCCGAGGATTCGGTCGTTGGGCCGAGAGGGAAACCAGGACGCAGTGGTGCGAGTCTGCGAGTCTGTCGGCTGGGTGCGGCCGGCCCTCCGAAGCCATCATAAAAGTATCACTCCCGCCGAAGAAAGGCAACGAGGGAAGAGAAAAACAAAACCGCCATGAAAGTCTGCGATGGCTGGTGTGGATTCAACTAGGGGCTGCCAAGGGTCTGGACGGCGAGGACAGGCTCGCGTGCCGGAAGGACCGGGAAGGACGAACGACGTGCATGTCCTGGACAGAGAGAGCGTCGCGCTCGACTTGTGCGTTTCCCCGTCACTGCCATCACCGCAATGGTCATTCTGGTGCTTTCAGACGCCCTGCCGCTGTTCGGCGGCGTGGTCCTGGTGCGCCGCGACGACGTGGAGGCGCGGTCGTCGCGCGCCCTGCCCTCCGTGCCGCGGGACGCGCCCCGCCGCGCCGCCCAGCTCGACGACCTGCTCGCCGGCCGCGTGGCCAGGTTCCTGGAGACGCGGTCGCTGCAGATGTCCCTGCCCAAGCTAGCTGACGGCGTGGACCAGGCATTCGAGGGTCGGTACTCGGACGAGCAGCCCATGACGAGCGAGAGCGAAGGCAGAGGTGCGCGAGGTGGAGTGCAGCAGTTTTATTATTTTCCCTTTGTTTATATTTTTTCCGTTGACGGTGACGCGGAGCACCGAGCTCATTTTACTACTTCACTGACCTGTCCTTTCGAGACGACTTTCCTCTATTATTCACGGATCTACGGTTGTTTTTATTCTTGTTACTTATTTCTTCGCATTGTTATTTTCCAGTGCGAACAGAGGGCTTTTTCCGCTGTTCTGCGCAGTCTTGATTCACACCTTTCTTGGGTTTTCTTTGGTTTCGTCCCCACGAAACCATCACTCCACCACCAGCACCTGTGTTCACTGTACTTTATTTTTTCCGCACTGAAGGTTTTTCTTTGCCAGACTAAATCTGAAGGTAAAAGAAAATATTTTCCTTTATTATTTTACCGACTTAATCATGGTTTATGGCTGAGAGGTTCTTCAGTTTTCTGTCTTGAAAGTTAACTCCCAGCCAGAAATGATGGGTCATATGCATGGCCAGGGGCTTTAGCACTTCAAAGTGCGCGGTCCAGCCGCCCCAAGTCTCTGGCTGGGCGCTTTGCGCCTTTCCGGGCACCGTCCTGAACGACTCTTGCTGGCCAGGTCGCGGCAAGCTGAAGAAGATCGCCGGTCCCGCCATCCTTATCATGGTCATGGCCGCCTACAAGCTGGCCATGATGATGGCCGGCGTGGCCATGCTGTCCGGCAAGGCCCTCATCGTGTCCAAGGTGGCCCTGACGCTGGCCGGCGTCGCCGTCCTCAAGAAGCTGCTGTCCCACCACGACCACGAGAAGACCACCGTGGAGATCGTCAAGTCCCCGCAGGTACGCAGGGTGCGTACCGTGCCAGTCAGGCCCCCCACCCCTCCTCGGGTCGCCCTGATGCCTTTGCCGACAGTTTTCTTCCAATCACTTTTCCTCTTTGGCATTCTTGCATGTGATAATGCAATTTCGATTCATTTATTGCTGGTTCTCTACGTCTGCCTCCTCCAATTAAATCAAATTAAATCTAAAGTGCATCATTTTTCCGCGACAAAGGTGCGTCTTCCCTCTCACTCCTTCCTGACCTGTCCTTATTGGCACGCAGCGCCCCCCACTGTGACCTAGCGTTAAGTTAAAGCAAAACTTTCTTCGCCACAATTTTTCTGGCATGTCAGCTTACTTCCTAAACAGGAATCTACGCATGATAATTATTAAAATGTTTGTTATTTTTTTCACTCTAAAGTTAAACGATACGTTTTTGGTGAATGAATATTCATGAAGACATAAAAATGAAGAACTAGACTGAGCCGTAGCGCAGCGAGTGTATGCGGGGATGTGACTGTCTGGGCGCGACGCTGTTGCAGGTGTCGCACTCGCACTCGTACTCCTCGCACCACGACCACGACGACCACGGCTACCACGACAAGTCCTGGAACGTGGGGCCCATGGTGGGCGGCTACAGCCACCGCAGCATGGTTGACGACGCGCAGGACACGGCCCCCACCAGCCCCTACCTGATGCCCCAGGACGTGGCGAGCAAGCGCGACTACCGCAGCGCCGTGCCGGTCAACTACGTGACGGGCCGCGGCGTGGAGACACTGTCCATCCGCAGCCACGACCCGCTGCGCATCGTGGTGGCGGACAACGGCGAGGAGGACATCCGCGTGCACCACCGGCAGCGCGGCCTGGACCTGCCCCTGCTGCCCGGCCCCGCCGCGCCGCTGCCCCCGCTCGGCCTCTCCTCCGTCGAGGAGCCCATCGACTACTCGCAGTTCGGCGAGGCGGACCGGGGGGCGTGGCGGGGACTTGGCTCCGCGCTCATGGCCGCCAGCGAGAGGTGAGTTGCAACCCTGTATCCCCGATCAGTCATCCAAGACATTTCCCGTATTGGGAAGGAAAATACACGATTTCAGAACAGACGTGTCTTATTTTGCACTATGAACTTACGGATTTATCCAAGGTCGGATGTTGGATCCCAAAACTTAAACTTGACCTTGAACTTGACCTTGGAATTCCCTGCGCAGGTCACTGCGATCGGCACCGAGCTCAGAGCAGCAAGAGAGGACCTTGGACGGTTCAGTGAACGAGGAGACGAGTAATTACCAGCCCCGGTCGCTCGACTCGTACCCAGCAGTAGCAGCTTAACGCGTGTGTTCTTAATTTATTAATTGTAGGTTAGAAAGAGAGAATTGTATAAAGACTTTGCGTAAATGTGGGGCGTTTGAACAAAAATGCTCACGAGGGGAACTGTGGCCGAGTCCAGTTTCGGTTGGAAAAGCATTTCTGCTCAGACTTCCCAAAGTTTTTCAGTCAACCTATTATGTAATGATGCCATGTAAATAGCCAGTAGGATAGTCTTTGAATAATCGAGGCAAAACTTGCCCGTTATCCCGCACCTATTTAATTTATGTGTACGTATTTATTATTTATTTATTTATTTATTTATTTTCAAAATTGTTGTGAATAAATGTTTAGAGAAAACAATATCTCATAGAGTTAAGCAGTACTGTAGTATTCCTCACCAATACTTTCCACCTCACAGTAAAGTAGAAAGAAATTTACTTAACACTGTTTGAGTATTTTCGTTTTATCTGAAGCTTTAATATGTTGAACGAAGAACACACTAACTTACAGTGGCTCCTAGCACTACACTTTGCACCCTGTCGCCAACGATTTGCAATTAGATTTTAATGTTACTCTCCTGTGTCTAGTTGGACGCGAAGGGTGCTGCTGGCTCAAGCGTTTCTAGAAGCTCATTTTGTAGTGTACGATGTGTAAAACAAATGAAATAAATCATCAATCACAGTTTTATTATTTTTGCGCATTTTTATTCACACTGCATCAGTAATACATTCAATAAATAATTCAACAATAAATAAATAAATAAATTAGTTAAGTGGCTATTAAATTAGACGTAGCCCGCTGGGTTCCAGCCATCAACCGTCATAATAATTTTCCCAGAGTAAAGAAAAAGTGACAAAATTGCAAATTCCTGGGCTGATGGTATCGAGAGAGATGGGACGCATCAGAAATTTGGATGAAGGCTGACTAGACTCTCCAAGAGAGAGCACGAAAACGGGAAACGAGAGGATCACATCAGTAAACAAAGAAAGTTACCGTCAGTCAAGTATGTGTCAACGTGTACCAGAATAACGTCCCAGAAGCTTTAGAACAATAAGTGTCTTAATTAAGTTAACGTCTTAATCATCTTTGTCGTCGCGGTTCCACCCAACCGCAAAGTTCTGGCCACTCCAAGCTTTCACTACAATTTTAACGCGTCGATCAGTCAGAGGATTTGTCTCTGATTGACTTGTCGGACGCTAAAACTGTTACAATCACAGTGAAATCTGTGAGTAACAAAGTAAGTAGTACAGCAAAGTTTGGCGTCAGTCAGTGAGCCCATTGAGGCTAGACCAGAGCCATCACCCACACAAAAATACATATCTACAAAATATGGCAAAGGCACCACCCCAAGTCAAGTCCATGCATCAAGTCGTCCCTAGTAAGTCCACGGTGCGTCCCTGCAAGCCCGACACTGTTGGCCGCGGAGTGGCGGCGAGGCCGAGGCCCCACAGCGGCTACGTCACAGGCCCCCCGGCAGTGCGGGATGGCCCACACCGCCCCGGACCGCCCCGGGCCATCCTGCACCGCCACGACGCCGCGGCCGTCAGTACCGCTGGTGCGCGCTGTAGGCGTAGCTCTGCGCGTAGTTGTTGGGGTCCGTGGCGGAGCGCCGGTTCCAGTCGCCGCCGCCGCCGCTCTGCCAGCCGGCGCTGCCGCCGCCGCCGCCGTGCTCCGCGGGCGCCGCGTACACGATCTGGGCCTTGGACTCCTCGCCGCCGCCCTTCTTGAGGCAGCACAGCAGCGCCAGCAGCAGCGCGATCTTGGCGATGATGAGCGCCTTGCCCGACATCATGGCGATGCCTCCCATGGCGCTCTGCATCATCATGGCCTTCATGCCGGCGATGAGCAGCAGGATGTAGCCGCCCATGCCCTTCTTGCCACCTAGACCGCCCTTCCCGCGCCCTGCAACACCGCCAGATAAGGCGTCAGACGGGGGGAAATGGAGTCTCAAAGAACTTCATTTTGGAACTGAAGGTGCGCGTGCGAGGCGGTGTGTCGAGAGCTTTCTCGAGAAGCTGAGCCCGGCCAGTGCTTGGGATGCAGCGCGGGGTGCCCGAGGTGCTTGGGGTGCCGAATGCCGGGGCGCCATCCGATGGCAATTCATCAAGGCGCTGCCAGGGCTAGAGATTGATGCGGCCGGCGTGCCGTGTCCGCCGTGTCCGCCGTGTCGCGCTGGACGGAGTGACGAGGAGGGAGAGAGAAGCAGTGCGAGCAGGACGGGTGATTCATCGCGAGCGATAGCGACCCGCAGCGCCAGCACACCATTAGCAGTCGACAAAAATGAAACATTCACGTGCAGATTACCCGCGGCAGATTAAGCTGCTACCAGTGCTTCCGGCGGCCAAGCTGCCGGCTGGATGTGGGGATGTGGGCCAAGCGCACCCCCATCGCGCCGACCAAACTGGCTTACTTACCCGCGGCCCCCACCGCTGCAACCACTCCCCGCATGCACCCCGGTGATGCCCACACCCTGCCCGGCGCCGCCATCACCACCGTCGCCGCCGTCGCCGCCGGGGAGGCCGGAACGCTGCGGCCAATATCTCGCAAGCCGTCCCGGTTACAGACGGCGAATCCATTTTCCGACGTTTGTCATTCCACTGCGTGTAACTGTGGCGGTGTGCGAGATACGGCTTTGCAGCGGGTCGTTCCGACCCCCCTCCCCGTCCACCTGCTCGACGCCCTGATGCTCTCGTCGCCCTATCACGCGCTGCCCTGCAGCCCCGGGGGAGGGCGCGGCTCGGCGGGGGACGGCGGGGAGGGGCACACCATCACCGCTTGCACCCTAGCAGCAGCCCCAACGGACACGGCAGGGAGCGACGCGGTCGATGCCGCCTGTTAGTTTTGCCGACTTGATCGTCTTTTAATGAGCCGAAACTCGTTTCTGTTTGTCTTTCAGGTCACGACGGCGTCGCCCCTACTCGATTACTCTACCTGCGAGTGATCGCCGCCCCCGCCGCCCCCCGACTTCTTGAGCAGGCAGACGGCGGCCAGCGCCAGGGCGATCTTGGCCACGATGAGGGCCTTGCCGGACATCATGGCCATGCCGCCCATCGCCATCTGCATGTACATGCCCGCCATCGCCGCCACCAACACCATGGCGTACCCGCCCTTCTTGTCCTTCTTCCCGCGTCCTACAAACACACCAACGTGTGACTCAAAGGGCCAAAGGGCCTAGGGCCACGCGCGCCTCCCTTGCCTCCAATTTACTCAAGTTTGCCATTTTTTACTTGGCGTTGCCTTGGGCTCGAATATTTACTCAGGGGAGAAAACACTTTTCATTAATTAAGGATGACGGATCCTCGTCTGAGGCGGGACAACAGTCTTATCTCCGCGGCCAGTGGTGGCAATTTGACTGCGGACGGTCGGTAGACTGGGTGGCGCGAAGCGCGAAGGGCCCACACTGTGAACGGCCATAATTCAGATAAGGCATTGTCCGGGTCGACCGGAGTCAACCGACGGAGTCGAGGGTCCGCGGCGGTCCCCGGTCGCCCTGCAGGGGCGGTGGCAACGGTTGCTGACGGTGCAGTGCGCTACTGTGTTCCGGAGGTCCGCTGAAATGCGTGACAGTGAGACCCTGTTTGAGGGCGGCCTGTGCGTTCTACCCCCGGAAAGGGTCTGTTGTACGCACCCAGCGCCACCGATGCGCATTTGACTGGACCTCCGGTACGCCTTTGAGTTCAAACAGCTGCATGGCATGCCTACATTTACAAATGCGATTTTTTTCTGTGACACTACAGATCCCCTGCACCCTGTACACGGAATATTACACTTGTACTTGCAAAAGGAATGTCAGTACAATATTTTACAAGGCTACAGAAATACGTCACTACACGTCGCCACTGTTGCCACCCCCTGGACAATGCCTGTTCGTTACTGCAAGTTGACTCCCTCCACGCCTACCTTCGAACATCCCCATGCCGAGGGGCACGCTAAACTGGACGGTCCTGGAGCGGATGAACGCATCTAGCCTCTCCAGCAGCATCTTGTCCAGTCGGTTGGCCCGCTCGTCCAGCGACCGCGGCAGGGTCGCCTCCAGGTCCGTTTCCGACTTGAAACAGAGGCGTAAAAAGTTAGCAAAGAGGCCACCCGAAGTGAAAGTCGCAGCGAGAAAAGTGGTACCTGTGGGGTGGGCGGCACGTCGACCACGGCCTCGGGGTCCTTGGCGAGGGACAGGTCCTCCATGAGCGGGATGGCGGCGTCCGAGGACAGCGCGCGGCCCAGCGTGGCCACGGCCTTGACCTTGAGGCAGCCGACGAGGTCGCCGGTGCGCGAACAGTCCAGGAGCAGCTTGCCGACGAGCCGCCAGTTGCCGGCCTCGGAGGGGGCCTGCAGGGGGAGGAGGGACGTCGTTAGTGAGTCTGCTTGTCGCCTCCATGCCGCGCCACCGCGACGCGCATGTGCGTCCTGAGGTGTAGGGGGCCGGCCCCGGGGGAAGTGGGGCATGGCGGGCACGGCGGCCACGGCGGCCACGGCGTACTCACTCGCACCTCCGGCGGAACCAGGCCGTGAAGCAGCCAAGGAGTCCTCGGATTAATTACTGTATTAATAAAGGGAACTGCAGAGTGCTTGTCCGTTCTCGCTTTGGGACGGCCCGGCAGTGCCCTCACCAAAGTTGGCGACGCTGACCGCCGAGAGCGTCGCGGAGGTCCCCGACGACGCGGGGGTGGCGCAGCGCGCCCCGCCGAGACACCTGGTGACTTGCTAATGGAGCTCTGCGCGGCGGGGCGTGGCAGGGCGGCCGGTGGAGCCACTGCCACCCACGCCTACTTTGGCATTCTCGGCAGTTGGCCCGGCCAACGCCTCATCGGCCCAACTTGGTCCGAAGCGTGAAAACAATTTCAGAAATTGGTCGCGTCGGCGGGGCTGCTGGGACACGCGCCCGGTGCTGGCTTTTCGAGCCCCGTTGTCTCGGTGCGTTATCCTGTTCGTCGCTCTGTCTCTGTCGCGCCCACAGGGCTGTCGGGGTACGAGGGAGACAGCGAAGGGCCTCTTCTCAGAATCACACGACGACTGCTCGGGGTGGCTGACTCCCCGCCGGAGTTTGTTGGCTTCGCAAACTCACTTTGGAAATCATAAATTGGCTCGTAGGCCCGCGAACGCAGCGCTGCAAATAGTGTGGCGCTTATTGGCCGCGCTGTTGACTCGGACGGCAGCCCAGCCAACCCGAGTCCGGGGCGGTGGCGCGAGAAATTAAATCGGAGCGGAGGGGCGGTGGGCGTCTTCGTCGTCAACAACGCGCTCTCCTGGTGGCAGCGGAGACCGGGGGCGGTTCGCTGCTTCAATGCGGGACCGCGTTGCCGAACACTCGCACCCCACTCACACACACACGCGCAACGCAATCACACAGACACACGCACCTGTCGGGCCGTCACGAGGCCGGGGCCGGGCGCCGTGCTGGGCAGCTGTCCGCCAGGCGAGGACGGCGACGGCGTGATGGGGATGAAGCCCCCGGGCGGCCCGCCGAGGCTGCGCTCCACGGGGGACCCGGTGGCCGGCGAGGGCGGCACGGGCGGCTGGGGCAGGCTGGCCGCGGGCAGGCCGGCGGGGGTCACCACGTTCCCGGACGCACTCGCCACCAGAAGCGCCGCCAGCAAGACCGGCAGGCCGCTGCCGGCTCCTCTGCCTGCCATCATGTCGTCGACGGGGAGGTGCCGGGTATCCTGGGCTAGACGTGCACTGGCTGACCGACGGGCTGGGATTGACGTCGCCGTCGTCGCCCCCGCGTGCTTTTATGCCGGGGTGCGGCACCTGGCCCCTCCCGCCGCTGTCACCCGGCGTCTGACGGCGTCCCTCTCCCTCTCGGGGCCGCCGCAGGGGTGGCTGCCGCCGCGGGCACCCTCGGCGTCCTCGTCGCACGCGCGCCCGCGCCACGGCCTAGACGAGGACGGCGTCAGCTTGCTCTTGTTTCCCCGGAGGCGCCCCGGCGGTGCTGTGCCATGGCCAAGGACACGGTCCATGCACCCTAGACGACTCCCTCCTCCTCCTCCTGGCGGTCGTTTTCCTCCTGGGCCAGCCCGGCCAGCCCGGCCCAGGCGGCGGCTTCGTCAACTTGGTGGGCGGGGCACGGGGGCATTTTCTAGAGCATGGATAATGAGTAATCTCCACTATCGTAGGGCCACCAAGGCCCGGGAGCCCTGCGAGCTGACGACGCACGTCGCAGGGCCCTGGTGGCCCTGGCCGGGGACCTCCATTCGCTTTCGGTTGGTCTTTTCGCAGGCATTGAGGAGTTCCCTAGGGAGAACGACGATTCTTCACCTTGGATTCGTTTCGAGTTCCATCTCGGCTCCATTCGCTTGAAGTTAAGTAAGACTTCAGATTTTTAATTTATAAAAATACTGCTTGAAAAAAAATTGCTACTAGCTTTATCTACGAACTGTGCCCAAAATTGGGTCAAATTTTGACGCTTCGGCCCGCACTATCACCGCGACGCATGTCGTCCTTGCCGCCTTGGCACGCCACGCGTGGCGGGGTGGGGCGGGGCGGGGCGGGGCGGGGTGGGGCGGGGATAACTACCGGCTGCCCGCCTCCTCCCCGACTCCTCGCTCCTTATCTTGACGGGGTGCTGCGCCGCGGGGAAGCGACATTTTTAAGAGCCGCATTAACTGGGATGCGTCTCACTGCTGTGAGTAATGGCTGGAAAAGAGCTTTTCTGGGAAAAACCGCAGATCAATTCTCATTACGTCGAGGACTGGCGGGCGAACAGATTTAGGCGGGGGAGGCGGCAAGGCCGACCAACTGGCGGTGCGGAACTTTCGCGATGCGAACACGCGAAACAGCCAAACAATTACGCCAGCTCGGTGGCACCCTTCGCCACGCCGAACGAGTTTTGAACGAATGGCCGTGGCGGACCGCGGAGAGCCTCGGAGCACCGCGGAGCACGCCCGCTGCGGCTGCGGCTCGGGCATGCGTCCGAGTTTCGGACATATGCTGTTGCGTTTTGTTCCACCAAACAAAAACTTGTTTAACAGGAAAAGTCGCGAACGACGTGCGAGCGAAAACAGCATCAAACTAGCCTCGCGGGCACACACGCGCGGCCACACGTGCGGGCCTGGCCCGAAAGTTGCAGGGCCCACCCCGGCCCTCCTAGGCAGAAAGCGTCAACGGCGCCCTCGTGGGGGCTCCGCCGGGCCGGGGCTGCGCGCAAGGGTCAGCCGAGCACGGCGTGGCACGGCGCGGCACGGCATGGTGGGACATGGCACGGCGTGGCATGGCGTGGCACGGCGTGGCACGGCGCAGCACGGCCTTGGCGCACACGTCACGCCGCACGCGCGTGTGACCGGGTCACGGCACACCTCGCCCAAATTAAAAATGAAAGTCGCGCCATCCGGCGGTGCGGGCCGCGTCGCCCTCTTTAACAGTTTTTGTGGACCAACAACAACAAGGAGCAGCAACAAGCGGGGGTGGCTTGTTGTTGTTGTTGTTTGCACATGCTTTTTGTTTGCATGGCATTGTTAATGGCGGTGCAGCAGGTGAGGCAATCACTCGCTTCTTTCCACTTTCTTCCAAACACAGCCCTGCGAAAGTTGAAGCAGCGGATAACCGGCGTAAACTTGGCGGAGGACGGCACGGGGCACTGGCAGCGGCGCGGCGGGTCGCGGACAGCACGGCCCGGCGGCCACGGTCCAGTGGAGTGGAGGCTGCTGGAGGGCTGGAGGCGCGGACAGTTTCTAATTTGGAGCGACGGACGGCCTGCGGTCTGCACCGCCGAAGGGCGTTCAACTCGCTCCAAGGACACGCCGCGGGGGTGTAAAGCCTGCGGCTAGTCGAGAAATCGCCAAAGCCGACTGCTATTCAGAAAGGACCCCATCGCGGTGCAGCAGAGCTCCGCGCACCCTTCGTAGAACGCGGGTCGCGTCAGCAGAGTGGTGGTCATGGCGTAGGTCAGGCCCTCTCAATGGACTCAGTTCAGCAAAGACCACCAAACAGGAGATTTTGCGTTCGCAGTCTGGCACAGCCCAGTGTATGCCGGCCATTCAAACAAACATGTGCGGAAAATCTCACATGCTTGAAATTGTGGCAGAGTGTTTGGCTACATTTTCAAGGCCCAAAACGATAAAAAAATGTTTCGTCAAAAAACGTCGTCCTGTCATCGTGAAAGTACACACACGAGGAAAGGGCGGAGCAGCGAGGGTCCTTGCGCCCCAGCAAACTCGTGTCAGTGCGAGCACCAACACGGCCTTGATTGGCGCGGCGTGGCGAGGCGGGCCAGCCTCTGAGGCCTCTGAGGCCTCTGGCGTGCACCGTGCCGCCAAGGCAGCCACGCGCGTGCATTCAGTGCACCCAGTGCACCCAGTGCAGAGGCGCGCTTTCATGTTGCCGCGACACTGCGAGAAGACTCCGGCACCGCCTAACTGCAGCACTGTAACATCATTTGTTTTTATTTTCTTATTTTTTTCTGCAAGCTTTTTTGATTTCCTGTTTACACAACGCGTGGGACCGACTTGACGACAAGCTCGTAGGCGGCGGGGAGCGCGCGACGTCCGAGTGACAGGCGGCGCGGCGCATTACCCGCCATGTTTGTTTCCGCTGTCCGCATGAAAGTGAGGGCGAGGGGAAAAGTTTCCCATCTCACTCCCTGACCGCAACAATGCCCCCTCCCTCTCTTTTCTCTCCCTCTCTCGCTCGCATCGGCCTCCATATTCATGAGGCGGTGTGGAGTTACGCGGGCAAGTGCATCGTGTGCCGAGGCGGCCGAGGCGGCTGGCAGGCTCATTCCGAGCAGTTCTTTCGTCGCTCTGTCTCTCTCGCACCACTCGGGCGTCCCGTGAGGTGCGAGAGGGACAGAGCGACGAAGCAGTGCTCGCGTTTGCTCGGCAGCAACCAACAGCCCCGCGCCGCGGCCAGGTTCAAATTTCGCGCCGCCAAATAATTCAGGGCGCGGTCAGGGAGGCTGCCGTTGTGACAGGCGTGGGCCGACGGGGGCCTGCCCGGCCGAGGGCGTGGGCGTGCGGGCCCACCGCTGGAGGGCCTTGCAAATAATCCATGACTGGCGGCACTCGGCTGGAAGGCCATGGAGGGCTGGGAGCGCGAGAACGACCACAGCAGGGGTGCGATTAGCTCCGATTCAGCCACCTTGGCCTGGAGGGCGACGGGGAGGGGGCGCTGCGACACGCCGATGGCGATCCGAGGGGCCCCGCCGGGGTTGCGGCAGGTCGCTGTACGCGGCGTGGCGGGGCGGGGCGGGGATGGCGTCATCGGTGCGCAGTTCCCACGCCCGCCCCCGCCTCCTCCAAGCAGTGGCCGCACTCGGACAATGCCCCGATTCCTTTCTCCGCAGAAGCAGATGAGCGTCACGGGGCGCGGGTGGAGGGGTGGCACGCTCCCACACGCCCCGCCCCGCCCCGCCCCGCCCCGAGACGCACAGCAGCTTTGTTCTTGCTTCCTTCGGTTCCGATGACGCGATACGGCCCTTTCTTTGGCCCCAGCGCCCCAGCCACTCGGTCGTCCAGTTGGTTGCCGGTGGCCGCAGTGTGTGGCCGCGTCCATGTCCCTGCAGGGCCGACTGCAGGCCCGCGAGGAGGCCCACGAGGAGGCCCGCGAGGAGGCGAAGCGGCGCGGGCCCGAGGTGGCCCGGGTGCTCCTGGCCGTGCTGGCGGGGCCGCGGTGCTGGCTGGCCAAGGTGCGCGATGTCTCTGCCCGCGGCGCGCGTCACGTCGCCGCCCTGGGCGCCCTGGGCGGTGCTCTGCGTGCTGGCCGCCCTCATCGCCACCGACCCGGCGGCGCATCGGCCCGCCAGGTCCTCCTGCGTCGCGGAGACGCCGCCGCGGTCGTCGTCGGCGGCCCCGGACGCCGACGCGACTAACGCGGTCCCGGACGACCGCTTCAGCGACGCCTTCTTCCAGTGCTACGCCGACGCCAAGCAGCGCGACGGCGACGCCGCGTCCACGCTGCCGTGCGTGGGCGAGGGCGCGCGCGTCGGCCTGGAGTCGTTCTTCAGCAAGCGCAACCTGCTGCTGTCCGAGGGCCTGTCCCTGGTGCAGGAGGACGCCGAGGCCGGCGAGGGCCGCGAGACACCTCTGCCGTTCCCTCAGGAGCTGCCGCCCTTGTTCGACGGCCACCAGCGCTCCGTCATCGACTCGGCCGCCGCCTACCTGTCGGCGCGCGCGCTGCGCTGGGACATGAGCGGCCTGTACCCCGGCCTCATCATGCGCGTCGGGCCCACCCTCTCCGGCAACGGCTGGCTCGAGTTTGTCCTGGAGCCGCGAAGAGTGTACACGAACCGTGAGCTGGGGCCAAGTGAGTGCGATGGGCAGGGCAACAACTGCGGAATTTATTTTTCATGAAACTCTGAATTATTCGTTGGTTTATATTCACGTCGCGTCCTTTCCCAGGCCGGACGGTGCTGAAGCAGGTCGTGCTGCCCTTCCTGCTGGGCCTCAAAGTGTCCGTCGCGTCCCTGGTGCCGCTGCTGCTGTTCGCCATCGTGTTCCTGGCCAAGAAGGCCCTGCTCATGAGCCAGCTGTCCGCGCTCGTGTCCGGCGTGCTGGGCTTCGGCGCGTACGGCGGCCCGGCCTACGGCGGCTACGGCCACCCGCATGCCTTCGGCGGCGGCTTTGACGGCGGCGGCCTGGCACCAAACAGCCCCTTCAACAACCCTCTAGCCCCGGTCAGGACTTCGCCGCAGGTGACGACCCGAGTTCCGTTGCAATGTTTTTGGTGGTAGTGTGGTGGTGGAGGTGGTGGATGTCCTCTTCTTCTTCCGCGATCGTGTGACTCGATCGGTGCGAAGGGCGCGAAGGGCCGCCGTCGCTATCGGGCGTCGCCATCGCCACTTGCCGCGGTGGCGTTCGCGGCGGCGGCAAGGGTGCGGCGCCGAGTGCGGGAGCCGCTGCGACGGGCCCGCTTCGGAAGCGCCTCTCCGCGAACACGTCTTTACACAACCCCGGGCACCGGGCACGCAGAGGTCACGCCCGCCGCAACAACAGGCTGGAAGCGCTGGAAGCTGGAAATCGAAAGGCACGAACTTTCGGCCGGAGGGTGAGAACGACTGCAGACTTCGTTAAAACAATGGGGAAAATGGATTGCTCCTGTTAAGGTGTTGGTTCTCCACTAGAGCGGAAATGGCAGTGGAGGCAAGGTCCTCCCCCCCCCTCTCTCTCTCTCTCAATCACTCACCCACTCACTCACCCAAATTTGAACAGACCTCCGTTTTTACGGTGTATCTACGCCCTGTAATTGCTCGCGCGGGGGAAAGAAAGAAAAGTACGACTGGAAAATGGTGGCTGCGGATAGGTAAGCTTCTCGGCGCCGTGCCGTGCATCCTTTCAGTCACGGCGCAGAGAGCCAGGGACCACTGGGAGAGAGAGGGGGGGGAGATGGCACAGGGATTCTGCATTCACCTGTCTCGCGAAATGGGTCACATTTTTCCGGGACCGTGAGGAACGGCGCACTGGATTAATTTAAATCTTTCTTCTTTTTTTCGACGCTCATGTACAGAAATATATGTGAAGATTTAGGACGGGAAACTAGGACTTCTGCACGAAGAGGGAGTTCTTCTTCCTTTTTTTTATTGCGACTGTTATTATTATGATTATGGGGTGAACTACAGAGACATTGACCACAGTCGCCATGCCGTACGTCTCAGGCTGCGCGGGGCTGCGTATCCCTTTGCGGTTCCTCGGCGCAGCGCGGGCTGCGGCTTCGGAGCGCCGCGTCGCCCGCGTCGCGAAGCGGGCTGGCTGGCTCAGCAGTTCCGCAAACGAACCTCTCACACTGCACTAAGACACGGCGCATGACTTTCGTTTAATTCGCTGCCTCGGCGGCGTGAGCAGGGCGGTGGGGCGTGGATCCCACAGGCGCTTAAAATGCACAGAAGAGCCCGCAACACACGGCTGTGCTGCGGGTTGGCCTATCCGAAGTGTCACAGGCGCTACAGCCGGCAGCGTAGGCCAGCCCGCAACACACGGCTGTGTTGCGGGTTGGCCTATTCGAGGTTTCACAGGCGCCTAGCCTTTAATGGTAATGGCAAGAGTAGGCCAGCCCGCAACACAGGGCTCCCAGCCGAAAATTCCGGCCCTGATTCCGGCCGGAATTTCTAGTTCCGGCCGGAACTTAGCCTTTTTCCGGCCGGAGATGGCTTTTTTACGGCCGGATTTCTCGGTCCGGCCGGACATTTTTGAAGTCCGGTCGGAACTTTTCGTTCCGGCCGGAACTTTTGAAAATCTCCGGCCGGAGCCTCAGATTCCGGCCGGACCCGAGCCACCGCCCAGAAGGTAGGCACAATTGTATGACAATTGGGTAGGCAACCCGCTCCACTTTTTGGGTCATTTTGCGAACGGATGGTCCTACGGGTATGGCGATGGTACCAATCGACTCAGAATCGAAAATTGACCTTCCGACCATACCTAGGACACTGTCGCATGGTCTTTGTGGCCAGAGTGACTGATGTCTGCTCCGGCCGGACTCCGCGTCCCGGCCGGACACCACCGGACTCCGGCCGGACACCACCGGACTCCGGCCGGACAGCTCGCCGGCCGGAGTCCGGTGGTGTCCGGCCGGAAATTTACCCAAAATACGGCCGGAGTCATAACGGAGTCCGGCCGGACTATTTTCCGGCCGGAGGGTGGCCGGAATTTTCGGCTGGGCTGTCTTGCGGGTTGGCCTATCCATGGTTTCACAGGCGCTTAAGAGTAGGCAAGCCCGCAACGCATGTCTGTGTTGCGTGTAGGCCTATCCGATGTTTCACAGGCGCTAAGCCCGCATCACTCGTCTATGTTGCGGGTTGGCCTATCTGTGGTTTCACAGGCGCTAGCGTAGGCAGGCCTGCATCACAGCTTTTCCGCTTCCACGGGGACAGGTGTTCTACGACGCAAATCTGATTACCTCCTCCGCGTCGACAGGTGTTCCCGAACAGCCAGCGGGTGCCCCCGCCCGTGGAGGAGGGCCCGCAGATCCTGACGCTGGGGAGCACCCCGTTGGCGGGCACCCTGCCCCTGCCGGGCGCCGCCCCCGCACTGCCGTCCTGGCTGACCGGCTCGGCCACGCCGCACCACCTCTTCCGCAAGGTCAACTACGACTTCCGCGACGAGCGCCACGCCGCCACCGGGCACCGCAACACCAAGGGCTTCCGCTGGGAGGACGAGCCGGCGGGGCAGGCCGACGACGGCGACCCCCGCAGCGCCGACGAGCAGCGACGCAGCAACACCATTCGGGGCACGCTCTCGCTGGGGTGAAGGTAGAGCACGAAAAATACCCTTCGTTTTCGCTGCGGATGAAGTCTGCCAAAGAAATGCGTTCCTTACAATTTGATTCACTGTTACCAAATAAACTAGTTTTAGGAGTGTCTTTCTTTCTCATTTAAATCCCAATTTTCTCACATAATGAAACCACGGTGTGACTTGAAAGAGGAGTACTTTGTTGATCTTCTGATTCGAAAGAAAATGGGAACGGTGGTGAAAACACAGTTCTGCTACGTCTCTAAATCTTTCTTAATCTTTCGGCGGCTGGGACTGTCGTGTCCTCACAAGATGGCGCCCGTGGTGGCCAGGGCACGACGCTGGCGCGTGTGCCTTGTGCGCCGCCACGCCACCACCGCTGTGGCTTCCACGCACGATGGGTTGCTCGCCTTGCCGGCGCCACTCCACCGCAGGACCGCCGGACGCAGGGCCGCGCCTGTGCTGCTGGAGGCAGGCACCCCGAGGGACACCTGCACCCGGAGGGGGGCCCGACCGCAGGGCGCAGGCGGTGCGGTCCGTGCCTCGCCACCCAGCCGACCCGGTGCTGCCCGGCGCAGCGCGGTGCCGGAAGAGTTGCCTGCCCTGCCGGCGCAACGGAGGCCAAGAAGGAGGACCCACATGACTCCAAGACGTCCCCAAGCGACTCCACGGAGAAGAACAACCAGTTCAGGCTTCACTTTTTTTTCGCCTTTATTTCCGAGTCTTTCTTCTCTCGAATACGCAGACGACCCCAACGGCATTGGCGGCGCGGCGGGCGGGTGTGTTTGCGCAGGACATGGACGCGGCCGTCCGAGTCCCAAAAGAACAACCGGCCGGCCGCCCTGCCCCGCGCCGACGTGGGCCTTTCTACCCGGACAGCGCGGCGCGGTGGCTCAGCGGCGGCCATGCGATGGAAAGCTGAGATCCGAAACCAGCTTCGACTCCCTGAAGCCCCGCCCCGACTCGAGGTGCGCTTGCGGGCTTGGGCTGGGCATGGCCTGGGCTTGGTCCTCTCTGGCGGGGAAATTATTCGGCCCCACAGCGTGCGCCTCCTGGCCAGTACACTGAGAGTCGTTTTCGTCACCGTCTCTCTCGCACCTTCACTGGACGCTCCACGGGTGCGAGAGAGACAGAGCGACGAACACGAAAATCAGTAGTCTCGGCGCACCGAGTGCTTTCGTGTGCGAGCAACAACAGGCGGAGGGACTAGCCGATCGGTTCGGCTGGGCCAGCGGATCGAAAAGGGATCCGCGCTAGGCTCGGGAAACATTCCACGACGACCGAATCCGCCAAGGCGAAAATTGCAGACTCGCACGGGATTGGGATCGAATCAGCAGTTTAGCAGTTCGGAAGGAAGCGTCGACGTCTGGTAGCGGGCACGCCAGAGGATGTGCGTGTGTGCGTGCGTGCGTGTGCGCGCGCGCATGTGTGTGTGTGCCGCCGATGAATATATCCGGCGTGTCGATTGGCCCCAGCCCCAACATCCAGGTCAGCCGATTTTTAGGTTAGAAATAATGAGGGGGAATGCGGCTTGATGGGCTGTGTTTTATACACACGAGAATCGGAACAAAATGAGCAGGGCGACGGACAGGGCGGCGGGCTGGGCGGCCGGGCCGAGAGAGACAACGACGACGGGGAGGAGGGAAGCGAGGGGCGCCCAAAAATCAACGAACCTCATTATTTGCGTCCAACCTGCCAAAGCTCTCTCGGCCGCCCCAAACACCGTGCATCGTAATGGGATACGCCCCTGTCCTCCCTGTCGCTTCACCGGACCGCCCGATAGTGCCCCTGTATGCCGTCCCGGCCCGGCGGGCTGGTTTCGAACAGCGCGTCCGCCGCGCTGTCTGTCTCGCGCGGGCCGCCTGGCGTCGCGGGAGTGACAGAGCGAGTGTTCGGAATCACACAGGGTAGGCTGGGTGATAACGACGGCCGTGGAACAAAGGGGGCCGAATTCGTAATGGCGCGGCAGCACTCTGCAGCAGCGCGTGATGGCTTGGCCGCGTCGCCTGGCAGCGCGCAGCAGCCCGTGTTCGTCATTAAGCGGGCCGATGGGCTCGACGCCTCGCTCGACGCCGCGCTCGTTGGCGGTCGACGGCCAAGTCGTCCGCCCACACCAAGAGCGTCGCTCGACAACCAAATATAACACTGCCTTCGATGCGGCTGTCGGGCTGACCGCGTCGGGTTCGGTCGGGCTGACCGCGTCGGGGTGTGGGTATGATTGGACGATCCGAATCTGGCTTATCTCCCCGTCCATCGTGCCGGCCTGCTCCGCCTTTCTGGGTCGCTTTAAATTGGCTGAGGCGTCAGGTGTCGCACGACAGCCACGGCGTATTGGCGCTACTTTTTATTTATTTCATTACTTTTTTACTTTATTTTTCCGCCTCTCTCGAGTTCTTCGAGGAACGCCCTCCCGCCTCGTCGGCTGGGAGGAGGATTCTCAGCGTCTGGGATCTGGACGTGAAGGAGCCTGCGTGAGACATTCACTGGGCATGATCTGGGTGGCGGGGTGGGGCGGGGTGGGGCGGGGTGGGGCGGGGTGGGGCGCGGCCCGCCACGCCCGGCCTGGACCGGCCTCTGACTACCGAGTAGAGCTGGCAAGCTATGGATATGAACCGTTTTTGTGACCCACATCGCTTGGCCCGGTCCAGCTCGGCAGCCCACTGGCCTGGGTGGGCCTTTGCCGGGGCCTTTGCCTCCGTCGGGTCAAACGGTGCGTTGAGCGTGTGTGCGTACCCCGGTCATTTCCTCGCGTTCGACATAAACAAAAAAAGTAAAATGCCGTGCGGGGCCGCCGGTAGTTGTTGAATAAATGACGTTACGTCGGAACTGATCGGACGATGCGGAGCCGCCAAAGCCCTGCATGTGGCAGAGCAGGCATGCCAGGAGATTACGGCGCTGGCTTTTCCTGGCCAAGCCATCCATCCGGGGATTATCTCGGCGGCCATTAGTTCGAACTTGGGGCTGAAGCGTACCCTAGAACTCCAGCACGCGTGGCACTATCTCGCGCGCTTTCTTTGTCGGAGAGCGCTCTCCGCTGTCGCACTCAGCCCCGCGCTCGAACTGTGATGCGGGCTATAACACGTGATTGGGTCGCTCCTCCCGGAGGCAGGTGTCGGAGGCAAGACGGGCCCAAATTAACGGCGGCCCCGTTGTGGGTCAGTGGGTCACATTTTACATAGCAGCCTATTTGCCGCGCGCCGCCGCCCGTTCCGCCAAAAAATGAGGCAGTCCCGAAACGCGGCGGCGCGGGGCCGGCCGGCCGTCCAGCAGGGTGCGCAGCAGAGTCTCGGTCGTCTCTCTCGCACCCCTGCGGCACGCGGCAGCAAGCCCCAAGAGTGCGACGGAGACAGAACGACGAAGCGCTTATCGCCGGCCGGCCGATGCAGACTGATGAAAGCGTCGGAAAAGAAGCGCAGCCGGATGAAAAGGACACAAAAATTGGGCGGAGAGTGAGAGTGGGATTATGAGCGGAAGCAATTGGGGCCGCAATTACAAGGGAGTTGTTGGGTTCGGCTGGCATCGCGACGGTACTCCGATCTCAGCCGAAGGCCGAGGAGACACCCTTGCAGCGTGACAGCACGGCATGCCTCTTACTTTATTGCATGTCTTTTCACTTTGGAGACCAAAGTCATTCGGAGAAACCTCTCAACGGCGGTGACGCCGCTGGCCACCACCGACAGGCTTCTTCACTCCAGATTTCCAACGGCAATGTAGGTATATTAAATTTTATGTGAAATGCAGAAAACTATGCCATAATACACCTCATCAGCGTCGTCGGCCTCCACTAGCGACGGCCGCCACACGCGACGCCGTTGGGGCCATCGGAAGAACGATTAACTGCCCCGCAAACGACCATTGTTGGGGAAACCGAATTAAAAGCTGCCAACGCCGGCACCGCGCGTCTGAAAGCGAAAAAGCGGTGGCGCGTCGTGCCTTGCTGCCCCGTCCCGGACGCGCGGCCGCGGCTTGGACATGACATCCTGGCTGGCCTGGCTCGCCTGGCTCCGACTTTTCACTTTTACGCCATTAGCTCTGGAAAGATGTGCGGCATTCGGCATTTCTTCCATCGTCCCCCGACTGGTTTCGGTTTCCTCGCAATAACTCGCATCACAAGGAGCGAATTAAATGGCACGCCCTCCTTTCCGCCAATGCCGCCAATGCATGGATTGCTGCTTTCGTGTTTCGCGCGACGTCCGCCAGGGGCGCTTTCTCTGCGACTCGTCTGCGACGCACACGTGGCGCGACGCAATGCTCCTCAAACAAGACTAGACGGTTTTCCTGTAAGCGGCGGCCGCAGTCGACGCCGGCCGGGCCGGCCGGGTCGGCCACGCCGGCCACGACGGAGGCGGACTTTGTGTGGATTTGCTGGCCGCGTGCTGTAACACCACCTCACCGAGCCCAGCGCCCAGCGGGTGCGGCGCAGCGCGGCGCAGCGACGGTCAGATTAGGAAACTCTCTCCTGACTTTGGATGGCCGCTGTGGCCGCTGTATTCACATGTCGCCCCGCCCCGCTCCGCCCCGCCCCGCCGCCACCGCACCCGCTTTCGGCCCTGCCCGGGCTGCTGCCCGGGCTGGCTGGCCGGCGTGCCCGCTGCGCCCCCAGGATCCCGTTCGTTCACCGATACCCCCTCCTTGTGGTCGGCGGGCGCTGGCTGGCGCGGGCGGCCGTCTCCGTGGTCTCCGGCCGGCAAGATATTGAATCAGCCTGGAGAAAGTGGTCCAAGTTTGGCCTTGACTCAGTTTCAAGAAGGCTTCGGAGAGAGCACGCCGCCTGCCGCTGCTGCCGCCGTGCAGGGGCAGAGGGAGGGGATATGGTGGGCGAGCTTTGGGGGAGGGGTGAGGATCACCGGTGTGGTGTTGCGAATGAAGAGGCACGATGACTTTCACCAAAGGGACAAAGACCCGAAGCCCGTCGAGTGGGCGTGTGTGTGTGAGCGTGAGTGTGAGTGTGCACAGGACTTGGAGGACGCACCGCGTCTCTGGGAAGGACATCACGGGTGTCCCCGACACCGCGTGGG